CCTCCGTGGGGGGCGCAGGACCCCCCCATGGCGGAGGAGCGCTCTGTCTCTGTGTCGATACGGGTTTTCTACGCAGGGCCGTGCTTGGGCTGCTGGCATGAGAGACCTGGTTTCTGCTCTTCCCTGCTGCCAGAAATATCGCAGGCGCCTGCAGCAGAGAGCATGGGAGGAGGGCTGGGGGCTGGGGGGGACAGCGGCGATTTTCGGAGGCTGATGGGCTCCCTGGGGCAGCACGGTGGACGCTGAGGCTGGTTAACCACCGACGCGGCCCCTGTGGCAGGACCGTGGCGAGGGGCCGGCAAGTTTCCCGTGGGACCTCTCTCCACCCAGGGAGTGACAGACAGTGCTTTAAGTCCATGGGTATCCTTCTTTTCTGCTGCACTCAGGATGGAGATGTTGAGGACCTCCCAGCCTAGGAACAGGAGAGAGGAGGCCAAGCGGGGCAAGCCATGGCCGTGCGTGGCCGGCGTACCAAGGTGCTCCCCTCCGAACTGAACAAGGTATGCCCCGAGAGAGGAGACGACCCCCCCACACACCCCAGGAAGATGAGCGACTTCGAGGTGGTCCCCAATCTCCAACAGAGCAGTAGCAGCGTCTCAAAGAGCCGGCGGAAGGCACATTTCCCCACCGGCAGCAATGAAAAGGTAAGTTCAGGAGGTGCTGGAAGAAGGGGGAGGTTGACCACACAGGAGGGAAGAACATTAGTGGGTTATCCAGTGACTCATAAACAGGAGCATTAATAACAGATCACTGCAGTTTTAGGGACAGGCAGAACCACCCCCCAGACATCGGAGGTACATGTCCAGGGTTCACATCTCCTCTCCTTGGAGTACACCTGGCTTTGTCCTTGTAGATAGCGACGGAGCTTTCTTTCACATCAGAAGAAGCCCCCAGACACGCTCCAAGCACCGGAGGCGTCTGGCCCCCGGCATAACTTCTGGCCCTTTGCAGAAACCCTCACCCCTTGCTGCTTTTCCTGCTCCCTCAGGAAAATCTCATCTCGTGGATTCCTGAAAACATCCGGAAGAAGGAGTGCACCTACTTTGTTGAAAGCTCCCAGACATCAGATTCTGGGTAAGTCAGGCAGTCCCTCAGCCCCCTTCCCCTGCCCGGAAAGCAGAAGGGGTGTTTGGTGACAAAGCTACAGCACCAGAAAATCCCACCTTTCTGTCAAGGGCTCTGGCGTCAAGGGGATTCACAAACTCCTTTTTGACTTGTTCTTCACCCTGCTGTGTGTTACCGCATGCTTGATATTCCATTTCCCAGTGAGGAACTTTCCCGATGCTTTCGCATGCAGTCATTTCCTCCCACGCTTATCCAGAGCAACCTGAATATTTCTGTCCTAAACCTCTACAGGCGGAAATACCAATTTTTGGCTATTTCCACCCAAACAATGCCTTTTTTTTTTTTTCTGCACAAGTTGTGAGCTGGAGGACAAGGTGGGCAGGAGGTGCCGGCGCCTGGAGTGTTCTTAATGAGAACGCCACCACCTCCTGCTTGGCCCGAGGCAGGGCTGGGCTTTGCCTTTTGGGTTTGGACAGTTTTGGGCACAGTTGGCGGTGTGTGTTTCAGGCGGATCGTGTGCGAATGCGGCTATCTCAGGGAACAGCACCTGGAAGATGCTGCCAAACCTCCCATCTTCCTGGGGAAGGAATGGGACCCCAGCAGGCACATCCAGGAGATGCCAACAGATGCCTTCGGTGATATCCACTTCACGGGCCTGGGACAGAAGATGGGGAAGGTGATCCATTTTTCTCACCTGTGGTGGATGGGGAGCCAGTGTTGAGGTCTTGCCATAGCAGATGAAATGCGGGTGTTTCCCTCCTGAATGAGAGGAGGTCAGGAAAGCATGGAAATGCCCCAAAGGCAACCCTGACCCAAGCAGAAGAAAGGGGGGTGGGACAGGATCCTCCCTCTCTCCCAGCCCTGTACCTACTCCCTTTCTGAAACCACGAGACTGATCTTCAGGCAGTGAGGCCCATGCTTCAAGGAGTGGCTGTTCCCTGTCCTCGTCATTAGGTTCGTCTTGGGCATGCTTGGTCCCAGGGGAATGGGGTCATGCACAAAGGCCTGGGGCAGCAGCAAGAGGACTCTGCTGGGAAATGGCGTGGGAAGCCCCCGATTCTCTGTTGGGACAGGAGAAATTGTGGTGGAGGTGCCTTGTTACCCTGAGCCTATTGTTTTTACCCAAAATGTGTGTATGCTCCCTTTTTTGCAGTATGTGCGTGTCTCCTCGGATACTCCTCCACGGGTCATCTACCACCTCATGACACAGCACTGGGGCCTCGATGCACCCAACCTGCTCATCTCAGTCACTGGGGGAGCCAAAAACTTCATCATGAAGCCAAGGCTGAAGAACATCTTCCGGCAAGGGCTGGTCAAAGTGGCCCAGACCACTGGTAAGAGACGCAGAGGGTCTCCCTATGACTGTGGTGGGAGAGGGGCTTGTCATCTGGCCATGGCAGGTTCAGTGAGTTGGGCTGCAGTGGAGATGCCAAGCTGGCCCAGGAGGCCAGTAAGTCCATGTCTGGACCACCACCACCAGGGATGGACTGTTCTTGCTCAATGGCTGCACACAGGCTCACAGGGAACTGGACCGAGAGATGCAACACTGTGCTGAAAAAGGCATCTCCTGTGCTGCCAGGGCTTGATGTAGTGGGCAGGGAAGACATCTTCTGGGCAATGGAGCATCTCTGAGGACCAGGTGTTCCTGCAGTCAGATAGGGGGACGTTAGGAGATTGCTGTGAGCGGAGCTTCTCCCTTCCCAAGCCCCTCTCTGACCCCCAGGGGCCTGGATCATCACAGGGGGGTCCCACGCTGGTGTGATGAAACAGGTGGGAGAGGCAGTGCGAGACTTCATCCTGAGCTGCAGCCACAAGGAGGGCGAGATTGTCACCATTGGCATAGCCACCTGGGGGACCGTGTACAACCGAGAGAGCCTCATCTGCCCCATGGTGAGCCAGGCAGAGCTGGAGATGTGTTTGCTTTGCCTACGCCTGGACTGCTGGGCAAGTCCTGCCAAAGACTGCGGTGGGAACGGGTGCTTCAAGACATACCTGTGGTTGGTGGCCCTGGTAAAACCCATCCACACTAGGAGTGATGGTCCCCGGCTGCTGTTTGCTGAGAAGCCCCTCTACCCTACACAGTCTTGTGTGGGTGCTGCGCTTCTCCTGGGAGGACCCTTGTGGGTGTGAGGGCAGGTGGAGCAGAGACAGAGGAGCATGGGGCAAGGCTGACGTGAGGACTGCAGGGACGGCTGTTTGGCCAGACTGTCCGTGTGCTGGCCTGTTCCTGTCCCACATGCTGGTTGCTTTGGGCATCTGGTGCTCCTCTGCAGCCCTGCCAGGCGTTTTCCAGAGCCTCTCCTCCTGCACCTTACAGGGTGGCTTTCCGGCTGAGTACATACTGGATGAGGAGAACCAAGGCAGCCTGTCATGCCTGGACAGCAACCACTCCCACTTCATCCTGGTGGATGATGGGACCCATGGGAGGTATGGGGTGGAAATCCCCCTGAGGACCAGACTGGAGAAGTTCATTTCGGAGCAGACCAAGGTGAAAGGAGGTAATGGCAACAGGGGAGGGCACAAGGTGGGATGGGACATTCGGTGGTGCCCATCCTGGCCGCTGGTGAGAGGGGAGGTTTTGGCTTCTCTGGAGGATCCAGGCAAGGGGGTTGAGAGGATTGTCATGATAGATGTGGAACCTGGTTCCTCAGTGACAGAAACCAAAGAGCCTTTCTCTGCCAGCTGCTTGACTTACGGGGTCACCAAAGGTAGGTACCCATACCTTGTGATGCTGAGCTGACGAGGGAGAGTCGTTTCTCTCAAAGGGCCAGGCCTCCAAGGGGGCTTCCAGGTGGTATCTTCTCACTGTGTCAATGATCTTCTATTCTAACACATGCACACACATGCTCCAGACTGCCAGGAGATCATCTCCTGTCCCTCCTGGAGCCCAACATATCAGGGGCAGTGGTCCCACTTTGCCTTTCACACCCCACCGCTCAGAGGGGACCATATTCAGCTGCATGGGGGGGAATTTGCCCTACAGGGAGGTGACCCTGGGCTCTGCTTTCTCACAGGTGTTGCCATCAAGATCCCCATCGTGTGCGTGGTGCTGGAAGGAGGCCCCGGGACACTCGATGTAAGGAGCTGGTCCAGCCTGCTCCCAGCAGAGCTGAGAGGAGGTGGTGGTGGGAGGGGGCAGCTCTTTGCCTGGGGTGCTGCTCTCCGGTGTTGGTGTGAGTGTGGTGCCACATGAGCTGAAATGCAGCTGGATGGGAGTGCTGCAGAGCGGCAGTGTGGGTCTCAGGCTCAGAGAGGGTCTGCTGGCCTCTCGGTAGGATTAGGACCAGCCTCTCTGCTCCGTTGCAGACCATCTACAATGCCATCACCAACGGGACCCCCTGTGTGATTGTGGAAGGCTCTGGACGTGTGGCCGATGTCATCGCACAGGTGGCCAACCTGCCTGTGCCCAAGATAACCATTGGCTTGATACAGAAGAAGCTGAGTGTGTTCTTCCACGACACCTACGAGCTCTTCACTGAGAGCAAGCTGGTGGAGTGGACCAAGAAGGTGAGCCTCTTACAGGCACGCAGCTCCACTCACTGAGCTTGTAGAGCTCAAAGGCGTCCCCAGGGGTCCTTGCCCATGAGTAGAAAGGCTTCCAGTGTGAAGTTTAAGGCTCATTTTCTGCCGATCAACCATCTGCCCCCTAGCCGTGTTCTACGTTGTCCTGGTGGGCACCCCAAGGGCTTGAGTTCTGCTCCTGCACTGCCTGCTCCCTTTGGGCAGAGTGGTACCATTCAGGACCAGCCCCAGCCAGGCTGGGAGACCCAGTGCAGGGTGTCTGCAGGCAACCTGAGAGGGGCAAGAAATTGACTCACGCAGGAAAGGGGGCTGCAGGAAGCAGCAGGAAGGAGATGCCGCTGGTGATTGCTTGCCCATGGCTCTCCTTGTAGATCCAAGACATAGTGCGGAGCCGGCAGCTCCTGACCATTTTCAGAGAGGGCAAATATGGCCAGCAGGACGTGGATGTGGCCATCCTCCAGGCCCTGTTCAAAGGTGAGTGGTGGGGAGCTGCTTGGGAGGATGGGGCAAGATGAATGGGATGGGGGTCACAAGTCACCTCCTGCAGCTGCTTGACTTATGGGGTCAACCAAGGGGTCCCCAGACCTTGTGATGCTGAACTGACTGGGGAGAGATGTTTCTCCCAAAGGCTCAAGCCTCCAAGGGGGCTTCCAGGTGGTATCTTCTCACTGTGCATATGATCCTCTATTCTAACACATGCACTTTGCATGTAGCATCCCGAAACCAGGACCACTTTGGTCGTGAGAACTGGGACCACCAGCTGAAGTTAGCTGTGGCCTGGAACAGGGTGGACATTGCTCGGAGTGAGATCTTCACGGATGACCACGAGTGGAAGGTAAGGGAGTACCTGTGCTGCTTGTCTGGTCTGGCTTATGGCTTGTCAGGTCCCATCTGAAGACTGTGGGTATTGAGGGCACTCTTCACCTCGGCTGTGCCTCAGGAGAATTTTTGAGGGCATTTCTCTTGGACCCTAAACTCCCACAATCACATTGCCAGGGGCTCTTAATCTGTCCTGTCTTTCAGAAGTGCACTCAAACACCCAAAGCAGAGGTGAGCGCACCCTGCAATTCATGGCTTGTAAAGGTCCTATTTGGCTTAAAAATGTTTACAAAGGTGATTGATGGGTATTTTGCTCAAAACTGGTGTCTTTTAAAGACAATCCACCAACTTAGAGCCAAAAATACCTCTTGCCAGCTCTGCCCTGTGGTTGCTGCTCATGCCGTGTTGTCAAATGGCACGTTGTCTCTAGACTCATCCCACCCAGCCTGGCACTCCCCTGCTCAAACTTGACTAGGGAGTGGGGCAGAGCAGCACAAGCCAGCTCTGCCAGCCCATGCCTGATCCAACTGTTGAAAAGTCGAAGCCGAGCAGGGTTCTCTGTCCTTTCTGCTGGGGGACATGGGAGGGATTTTCCTATTTTGTTCGACAGTTTGAATTCCCCCAGCTCACATGCTGTTTGTGGGACTGGGAAGGGCTGGTGGGAACCAGGATCCTGAAGAGGAAATATTTAACGGTGTGAAAATGCACAGCCTGAACAAGATCTACTCTTTTCTTGGGAAGGGAGGATGAGGCAGGCCCTCAGATTTGCCGACGCAGGCCAGGGCTGTTGAGAGGTGCGGCAGCCCTGGACTGATGTGGCTGGTATGAAAAGCTGAGGCTGAAACCAAGCTGTGGCAGAAGGTCAGCAGGTACCTTCTTGCAAGGACGGACATGTACCCCCTTACCCACCAGCTTTGTTTTCACTTCTGAGCCCACATAGATGTTGCCTTGGAAAGGAACACCCCACAAACTGGGTGACCATCAGGAGCAGCCAGTGCCCTCTTGGCTGAGATCCAGCTGGGGGCACCATGATCCTTCGGCTGAAGAGTTGTGCATAGAGGACAGGCCTTTGAGGTCCTGTTCATTTGTATGGTGTATCCTCATGAGCTGGGGAGAGGGCCTACCCTCTGCCCTACCCCATCCCTCCACCCAGCAGCCAAGAGAGCAGAGGGCTTCACTGCCGGAGGAGAGGGCACACTAATCCAGAAGTGCATCTCTGGTGGATGTCCCACAAGTGCCGTTACCTCCCAGCTGCTCTCTCACACCCGGAAACTCCTTGTGTGCTCAGGGGCAAAAACTTTCCCCCATCTGAGTGAGGAGCAGGGTGGGGTCCTGCTCTGAGGCCATGGAGGCCCTCACCTCTGCCTCTGGCCTGCCAGCCCACAGATCTCCACCCCGTGATGGCAGCTGCCCTGATCTCCAACAAGCCAGAGTTTGTGAAGCTGTTCCTGGAGCAGGGAGTGCGCCTCAAGGAGTTTGTCACCTGGGACACCCTTGTTTACCTCTACGACAACATGGCACCATCCTGCCTCTTCCACAGCAAGCTGCAGAAGGTCCTGCTGGAGGAAAGAGAGCACACAGCTGGTTCCAAAATGCCTAGAATCCAGCTGCACCACGTCTCCCAGGTGCTGCGGGAGCTCCTGGGCTGCTCCACGCAGCCTCTCTACCCCAAGCCCAAGCACACGGAGCGGCCCCGGCTCTCCATCCCTGTCCCGCACATCAAGTTGAACGTATGCATCTCCAGTTTATGTGGTGGTAGGGTTGCGTTAGGGAGGGGAATGCTGGCTCAAGAAACTATCCTGTGGGTTGCAACTGGGTCTCTGTCCTCTTGCCTGCCCAAGAATCCCACTTAAAGTTCCTTAAAGCCCTGCCCAAGTCATCTGCCCCACATTCAAGGTGCAACTCCCACCCTCCTACACACACAGCACCATGTGGCTGCGTGACGCTGGTGGGCAGGACCCCGTGGACTGGGTGCACTGGGCAGGATGGGCACATCCCCACGTCACAGCATCCCAGACTGGTCAGGGTGGGAAGGGCCCTCTGGATCTCCCCCAGTTCCACCCCCCGCCAGAGCAGGGGCACCTCCAGCAGTGGCACAGGACGGCGTCCAGGTGGGTTTGCAATGGCTCCAGAGGGGGAGACTCCCCCACCTCTCTGGGCAGCCTGTGCCAGTCCTGGAGCAGGGAGTGCGCCTCAAGGAGTTTGTCACCTGGGACACCCTTGTTTACCTCTACGACAACATGGCACCATCCTGCCTCTTCCACAGCAAGCTGCAGAAGGTCCTGCTGGAGGAAAGAGAGCACACAGCTGGTTCCAAAATGCCTAGAATCCAGCTGCACCACGTCTCCCAGGTGCTGCGGGAGCTCCTGGGCTGCTCCACGCAGCCTCTCTACCCCAAGCCCAAGCACACGGAGCGGCCCCGGCTCTCCATCCCTGTCCCGCACATCAAGTTGAACGTATGCATCTCCAGTTTATGTGGTGGTAGGGTTGCGTTAGGGAGGGGAATGCTGGCTCAAGAAACTATCCTGTGGGTTGCAACTGGGTCTCTGTCCTCTTGCCTGCCCAAGAATCCCACTTAAAGTTCCTTAAAGCCCTGCCCAAGTCATCTGCCCCACATTCAAGGTGCAACTCCCACCCTCCTACACACACAGCACCATGTGGCTGCGTGACGCTGGTGGGCAGGACCCCGTGGACTGGGTGCACTGGGCAGGATGGGCACATCCCCACGTCACAGCATCCCAGACTGGTCAGGGTGGGAAGGGCCCTCTGGATCTCCCCCAGTTCCACCCCCGCCAGAGCAGGGGCACCTCCAGCAGTGGCACAGGACGGCGTCCAGGCAGGTTTGGGATGGCTCCAGAGGGGAAGACTCCCCCACCTCTCTGGGCAGCCTGTGCCAGTGCTCTGCCACCCTCACAGCAGAGAAGTCCCTCCTTGGATTGAGATGGAACTTCCTATGGTCAAGTTTGTGCCAGTTCCCTCTCGTCCTGTCACTGGGCACCACTGAAGACAGACTGTTCCCATCTCCCTGGCACCCTCCCTTTGAGGATTTATCAGCATTTATCAATCCCCGCTCAGTCTTCTTTTCTCCAGACTGAAAAGCCCCAAGTCTCTCAGCCTTTCATGATCCCGGCCCAAGAAAAAATGGCATTTCCAGGATGAGTCCAGCCTTGGCCACCCTGCTATCTGCAGCAAAGACCCTTCCATGGGTGGTGGAGGCAGGCACCCAGGGTTCGGGGGTGGCTTTGTGCTGAGAGGCTGTCTGCTTTCTGCAGGAGAACAGGTCTGACCATTGCACACCTTGCAGGTTCAGGGGTCAAGTCTCCGGTCCCTCTACAAGCGCTCCACCGGCCGAGTCGCCTTCACCATGGATCCGGTCCGTGACCTGCTTATCTGGGCTCTGGTCCAGAACCGCAAGGAGCTGGCAGAAATCATCTGGGCCCAGGTATCACAGCCCAGAGCTGTCGGTCCCAGCTGAGAGGCTCAGATGGAGCCAAACCTCCCAGCCCCGAGAGGAAAGATTGCGCCTGCTGGCATTTGGGACAGCAGGCGAGCTGGCCCATGGCAGCCTGACCCTGGCCAAAGGGGAGCCTGAGGACACTTGATGTCCATCCCCAGACACACACCGTGATGCCAGGTCCCTCCCTTCCCAGCCAAAATGTACATGCTGGGCCAGAAGTGTGCTCTTCCTTGCAAAGGCTGAGAGAAGTCTCAGCATGCCGCAGGCAGGACACAAGGGCACGGCAGCTGGGCTGGAGAAGGCTTCCACCCATAAATAGCATCCCCAGGGTGGCTGGTGGCATGGCGAGTGTGCCATGCAGAGCCGTGGAGTCATACCATCCCGTCACCCCAGGCTTCCTGCTAGGAGAGCAGGGGTGTCCCCGGGTTCCCCGTGGTGGTGGGTTACCCCCACACCCACAGGGGAGCACAGCTCAGCCCCCGTCACAGCAAGCTGTCCATCCTGAGCAGCAGTCTCCTTGGGACACCCTTCTTCCCTCCGGTGGGACCCGTGGAGGGCTTGGCAGGACTGCCGGGACATGGAGCACAGGGGACAGAGCCCCATGCTCTCTCTTGTCTCTTCTACTCCAGAGCCAGGACTGCATGGTGGCCGCTCTGGCCTGCAGCAAAATCCTGAAGGAGCTCGCCAAGGAGGAGGAAGACACTGACACCACCGATGACATGCTGGCCCTGGCCGAGCAGTACGAGCACAAGGCCATCGGTGAGCGGGAGGGGACCAGCAAGCCAGAACTGCTCTCACACCCTACAGGGCTGGCTCGCTTTACCCAGGAGTTGTCTGGGGGTGATGGGTGGGGTGGATAGTGCCAAACAGGGGTCCCCTCGCCACGGTTGGGGTGGTGGTGCTGTGAGGGCTGTGCCGGGGTGGTGGTGGGAACGCAGAGGATGCCACTGCATGGTGGTGCGATGTCCAGATCCTGCTGCAAAGGGCTACTCTGCGGGTGCCTTGCTGAGCACCAAGCTGGCCCTGGAGCTCAGCTTTCTACCCCTGGTCTCTGCCGGGCCAGGCGTGTTCACAGAGTGCTACCGCAAGGATGAAGAGAGAGCCCAGAAACTCCTCACCCGTGTCTCTGAGGCCTGGGGGAAGACAACCTGTCTGCAGCTGGCGTTGGAGGCCAAGAATATGAATTTTGTGTCCCATGGGGGTGTCCAGGTGGGTTCCCAGCAGTGGTGCTTGGAAGGGAAGTGCCCAAGCGTCCCCTGCCCCAGATGCAGGGTTCCTTCTCGGCAGCGGTGGGGCTCTGCCCTGCAGCCCCGTTCTGACTTGGCGGGGGGGCTTCTGTAACCAGTGCTCCTCTTCCTCCCTCCTCACAGGCCTTTCTAACCAAAGTCTGGTGGGGGAAAATGTGTGTGGACAACGGGCTTTGGCGGGTGATTGCGTGCATGCTGTTCTTCCCACTTCTCTGCACCAGCCTCATCACCTTCAGGTACTTGTTGCAGCCGGGCCACGCGTGCACCAAGGCTGGCTGGGAGAAGCTGCCGTGGCACCTCCCTGGGTGGCTGAGCCCCCTTCCACCCCTGCTCCCCGCAGGGAGAAGAGGCTGCAGCCCATGGGCTGCCTGACGCGCCTCCGAGCCTTCTTCACAGCACCCGTCGTCATCTTCCACATGAACATCCTCTCTTACTTCACCTTCCTCCTGCTCTTCGCCTATGTCCTGATGGTTGACTTCCAGCCATTGCCGTCCTGGCGGGAGTACCTCATCTACTTCTGGCTCTTCTCCCTGGTGTGTGAGGAGACCCGCCAGGTACGGAGCAGGCAGAGCAGAGGCTGGGAGGAGGTGAGAGGAGGGAGAGACACCCCTATGGGTGCTCCTGGAAGGTTCTGCGTAGCTCACATTCCTGTGCTGCTTCTCATGTCGCCATCCATTTGGAGAGCTCCCAGCACAAGGGACTGCCAGATCCCCTCATCTCTGAGGCCAGAGAATCTCCTTGGCATTGCCTGGCCTGGCCCCCGGTACTTGCAGAAAGACATGCTGTTTTGAGCTAAAAACATCAGGAGATGGAGGGACCACCTCCTTCCTTGGGCACTTATTTCCAGTAGCATTTCCAGGCTTTGCTTGACATTTGATTTTTTTCAGCTTTTGCTTCAGCATCTCAGTGCCTTCCCTCACCAGACTAAAGAGCCCCATATCTCAGGTATCTCTCCCCATGCTCCTTCCATGCCCCGAGAGAGAAAACCCTGTAGGCTCACGTTAACTTTGGGTGAGCGAGAGGGTCCAGTGACAGCCAGCAGGTCTGTGTGGTCCCTCCCCTCTACAAGGTACGTGAGTATCTCACAAGGCTTTTACTGAAACACCAACCCCTCTTCTCTTCCCAACAGCTGTTGTATGATCCAGATGGGTTTGGGGTGGTGAAAATGGCTTCCCTGTACTTCAAGGACTTCTGGAATAAGTTGGATATCTGTGCCATCCTAGTCTTTATCACTGGGCTGACCTGCAGGTGAGTTGCAGAGCCACCCGTGGTGGGCAGGCTCAAGCCACAGCTGGGGGCTACAAAACTAGCGTGAGAATTGCGCAGGTTTTTTAATTGCGATTTCTTCTTCCAAAGGCCAATGGAGATTTTCCTGGCCACGTGGTTGATTCTGATCAATTTCCCTCCGCTTTTAGGAGAGACGTTTTTCATGCCACAGTTCTCACCCAGCACTCTGGGGAAGCTCACTGATATTGGGGAAGCTCACTGATATTGCAGAAATGTAACGCTGCGAGATCAGAAAAAAGAAAAATCCCCACACTGGTGGCTCTGAGGTGTTTTCTTTCTTCTCTTCTGTGCCCAGGCTGATCCCGTCAACTTTATATCCCGGGCGCATCATACTGTCACTGGCTTTTATAATTTTCTGCCTGCGTCTGATGCACATTTTCACAGTCAGTAAAACGCTGGGGCCCAAGATCATCATTGTGAAGCGCATGGTGAGAGCTCCCCTCCATCCTGCCAGGGTGATCGGCTGGGGCAGCCAGATGCCTGCATGGGATGGATGTGCCACCCGTGTTGTCCTATCCTGGAGCGAGGTTTGCTCCAGGACACGGTTTCGCTTCCCCTCTGTCTTTGCAGATGAAGGATGTCTTCTTCTTCCTCTTCTTGCTAGCGGTGTGGGTGGTGTCCTTTGGGGTTGCCAAGCAGGCCATCCTGATCCACAATGAGGAACGCATGGAGTGGCTTTTCCGTGGCGTGGTCTACCACTCCTACCTGACCATCTTCGGGCAGATTCCCTCCTACATCGACGGTAAGGGACACAAGTGGCATGAGCGGGGTGGCTGTGACAAGGCTGAGGGGTACCAAGCTCATGCCATGGTCTGCCTAGCTCCTACCGTGCTGGCCCATGGAAGTCCTGCACAGGGCTCCTCTCCAAGCACAACGTAAGGCTGGGAGGGAAGCAATGATGGGGCAGGGCGATGGAGCCCTGCTCCGGCATGTTGGGAGTGTCACTACCAATGCAAACCCAGGGACTACATCTGCCCAAGCGGTCAAGAGAGCATGCTAGCATGAGTCGATCCAGCTCAATGCCACAGCTGCAAAGCTGTTGGCAGCGAGCAGAGCACCCGGGATGATGCAGGTGGAGGTCAAATCCCTGCCTGGTGCTCAGCTCTCTTGATGCTGTCCGCTTTCAGAGAGCACAATGTGCTCCATGGGACACTGCGAGGGTTGGCTGCAGCGGAGTCATGCCTTGCTCTCTTGCAGGGGTCAACTTCAACATCGACCAGTGCAGCCCCAATGGGACCGACCCCTACAAGCCCAAGTGTCCTGAGACAAATGAGGACAACAAGAAACCCATCTTCCCAGAGTGGCTGACGGTCATCTTACTGTGCCTGTACCTGCTCTTCACCAACATTCTCCTCCTCAACCTCCTCATCGCCATGTTCAAGTGAGTTTGACCTGGCCCCATGGTCCTGACAGTGAATTGAGCTGGCTTTGCTTGCGGGCTTGGCCATGGCCAGGGCACCGCATGCTGAGGAAGCACAAGGAGGGTCCTTGGGCACATGCTGACCAGGGCATAGGGCACTTTAGGGTGGGGTTAGATGTGGTGGAAGTAGTAGGTGCAGGCCAGGGCTGATCAGGGAGACAGGTAGGAGCCGGGGCACCGTACAGACACGATGTGCCCCCTCATTCCTGTGGCACGGCTGACGCCTGGGTTCTGCCCCAGCTACACCTTCCAGCAGGTCCAGGAGCACACGGACCAGATCTGGAAGTTCCAGCGGCACGACCTGATCGAGGAGTACCACGGCCGCCCGCCCGCGCCTCCACCCTTCATCCTCCTCAACCACCTGCAGATCCTGGTTCGGCGAGGCTTGCTCCGCAGGCCGGCCACGCACCACAAACAGCTCAGTGAGGACCAGCATGTCCCCTCCTGCCCATTTCCCCCTCCCCCGGGCATGGCACCGTGCACCGAGGCACAAAGCTTGGCGTCTGGGCTGTGGTACTGGGCTTTGGGCTGCCTGGGGGTCTGACAGCACTGCCGTCCTCATCCTCTGGCAGAAGAGAAACTGGAGAAGAATGAAGAAGCTGCCCTCCTCTCTTGGGAGATGTACCTGAAGGAGAACTACCTGCAGCACCAGCAGTGCCAGGAGAAGCAGAACATGGAGCAGAAGATCCGAGACATTGCACAGAGGTATCTGTGACCCTGAGATAGGGACGTCGTTCTATCCTCCAGTGTCCTGGGCAGGGAAGAGTTAGGATTAGTGCAGGGCTGGCTGCTTAGGGGGTTCCTCTCTGCACTGTCCCTCCAAGGGTTGACGTACTGGCAGAGCTGCTGGACTTGGACCGGGTGAAGAGGACGGGGCTGGTGGAGCAGAGACTGGCCTCTCTAGAAGACCAGGTGAGCCAAAAGCCAAGCAACTGCCTAAGAAAGGTTTTCCAGGGGCTGAGTCAACTGAATCAGAGCACAGGAGAAAGCCCCCCTGAGTCAATCCCCCTTCAAACAGTTTGAGTTTCCTTGCCAAAGCAATATCATCTGAGAGGAAAAGGCTTATGGGAAATGTTTTGTTTGACTCCAAAGTGAACAGGGTGAAGGTGGGAGGTGGTGGGATGAGCTCCTGCCTCCGCTGATCACCCCAAGCAGTTAGATCTGACCCAGCTCTGGCATCTCCTTTCTGAGATAGCCGTAGCATGGCTGCTGTTTCTGCTTCACAGAATCACAGAATCCCAGACTGGTGGGGGCTGGAAGGGCCCTCTGGAGCTCCCCCAGTGCCACCTCCCACCAGAGCAGGGGCACCTCCAGCAGTGTCACAGGATGGCGTCCAGGCGGGTTTGGGATGGCTCCAGAGGGGGAGACTCCCCCACCTCTCTGGGCAGCTTGTGCCACTGCTCTGCCGCCCTCACAGCAGAGAAGTCCTTCCTCATGTTTAGATGGAACTTCCTATGTTCAGGCTTGTGCCCGTTCCCTCTCGTCCTGTCACTGGGCACCACTGAAGACAGACTGTTCCCATCCCCCTGGCACCCTCCCTTGAAGGATTTATAAGCGTTGCTAAGATTCCCCCTCAGTCTTCTTTTCTCCAGACTGAAAAGCCCCAAGTCTCTCAGCCTTTCCTCATCAGAGAGATGCTCCAGTCCCCTCATCATCTCTGTAGCCCTTTTCTGGACCTTCTCCAGCAGTTCCCTGTCCTTCCCAAACCAGGGAGCCCAGAACTGGACACAGCGCTCCAGATGTGGCCTCACCAGGGCAGAGCAGAGGGAGAGAGCATTCCCACCTGCTTTGAAAAGATGTTTCCCGGGAGGTGGTTTTCCACTCTGAGTGTCAGGGCACAGGGAGGACTGCTGCTGCCCAGGGCGATGTACCGCCAGAAGCCAAGAGCAGCAGTGTCTCCTTCCAGGGCTGTATCCCACAGTATTCCAGCACGGGAGCCCCGGGGCACAGCTGGGCTCCGGGGGGGAACTGACTCTCTCCTGTCCCACGCAGGTGCTCCAGAATGCCCAGGCCCTGAGGTGGATAATGCAGGCGCTGCAGGGCAACGGCTTTGGCTCAGGGGAGGACATGCCACCCGTGGGTAAGTGGAGCCTGTCGCCACCTGGGCAAACTTGGGGTCCCCGTGCTGGTACCTGTGGGGCTGTGGACCAGGGCTGAGCAGCTCCTCGCACCCCTCTGTTAAGAAGCAGAGGGTCCTTTGGCCCAGGGAGGTCTGGGGGCTCTGCGAGGTTGTCCAGCCCCTCCTGTGGCCATTCCCACCCTCCACTCCAGAGCCCTCCCTGCAGACAATGGCTGAGGCTTTCCACTCCAGCATCCCCAGGGGAGTTCCTCCGGGGTCTGTTGGAAGAGATCCTGGGGGCCAGGTCCCCAAGGGACATCGGCATCCCCATGGAGAGACCCAGCCAGCCCCCTCAGGAGACCCATGGTCTGCAGCACCGGACTCAGGACCCCCCTTTGTGGGGCCTTGCTGTCCGTCTCTGCCTCGCAGGCTCCAGCAAACCCTCAGAGATGAAGGAGGTTGACCTGGAGGGGAAAGCCGAGGAGAGCCAGCCCCCGTACCACGTGCTTGCCCGAAACCTCTTGTACCCAGGTTCTCACACCCTCCGCTTCCCTGTGCCGGACGAGAAGGTGCCCTGGGAGGTAGGAGCTGTGACCCTGGGCAGCAGGGCTGGGAGAGGGGACCATGGGGCAGATCCACCAGCGGTGGGAAAAGGAATGGACCCATCCTTGCACTCACGTCATGCTTGGGAGCTCCTGTTCTCCCCAGCCCTGGGACAAGTGGCTTCCTGGAGCAGCTGCTCCGTGAGACCCTCCCAGGGATGAGGAGGGATGAACGGGTACTGTTCCTGCTGGGATCTGCAGTGCTGGGGCTGCCTGGGGGTGCTCGGTTGGGGGATGGAGGGTACAACCACCCACCTCCACATTTGCTGAGTCGGGGCTGGCTCAGGGTCAGAGCCGCGACGCCAGGGGGGACCTGACATGGCCACGTGCTCTACAGGTGGACTTCCCTCTCTATGACCCTCCCGCCTACTCAGCCGACCACAAGGACATGGCGGTGCAGGACCCGTTCAGCCCGTGAGTGTCCCCCTGCGGCTCCCCGCTCCTCTGCCCCTTGCCCTGGGCGGCACAGCCAGCCCTCCCTGCCGGGCTGCCTGCCGCCCCCCCAGCTCCTTGGAGTCTCTCCTGAAGATCAACTACAACACCATGGACGGGCTCATCGACCGGCAGAGCTTCCACGGCCTCTACACCGTGCAGGATGGGCTGCCCCTGTGAGTGCATCCGCCATGGGCACAGACGGGCTCGGTGGGAGGCAAAGCACCAGGGAGATGGAGAATCCGGGAGGTGTTGGGTGCATCCATCCCCTTCCCGCTTCCCTACGGCTAATAGTGGTGCAGGGATAATGGCACACATCATCCTCAGGGCTGTCCCCCTCCCAAAAAAAACCGCAGCACCCAGAAGAAGTGCAGTGCAGTGGTGGGAAATCTGGGGGAGCAGCACAGGGCTTTGACTGGCATCACGGGGTGCATGGAGGGACCCCGGTGCCATCCTAACCTGCTCCCTCTCTCTCCCCGCCAGGAACCCCATGGGCAGGACAGGGCTGCGAGGCCGTGGGAGGCTGCACTGCTTTGGGCCCAACCATGCTCTGCACCCAGTGGTGACCCGGTGAGCACCTGGGGACAGAGAGGTGCCCTTGTTCCAGGATGGGGCTGGGGAGGTGGGATGGAAAAGGGGGCACGAAGCTATCTCAGAGAGACCGGGACCTGGCAAAAGTCACCACTGCCCATTCAACCGCTGCTGGGCAGGGGGGAGCTGAGTCCAACTGCAGCGTAACAGGGGCCTCTCTCACAGCTGGAGGAGGAATTTGGATGGGTCCATCATAAGGAAGAGCCTAAAGAAGATGCTGGAAGTCCTAGTGGCCCAGTACCCACTGTCAGATGTCTGGGCTCTGCCCGGGGTAAGAGCTGGTGGAAGCAGCTGGTGCAGAAGGGTTTGGGGACATGGGGACCAGCCGACAGCTAGATGCCCTGCAGAAAAGGGAGAAACACAAGACGGGTGTCCCAGCCTTGTCTGAGGAGGTACCTCCACCCCTCCCGCAGAGCATCTGAGTGCGGGGCTGCGCTGCCAGGAGTGCTGGGGGAGCGGTGGTCCCATCACATACCCCCACCCACCCTGAGCCCCTGCCTCCTGTTTCTCCCTCCTCCTCCTCCTCCTTCTCCATGGCTTCAGTTCTCACATGTCCTTCATGACATAAGCAATTGGCAAAGCGTCCTTTGACAGGGAGGTCCGGATGTTGAATCAGGCCAACTCAGACACGTGCTTGGGCACAGCTGAGGACTTCTGGCAGGAGAGGGAGGAGGGAGGGAGGCACCACTGCTGCTTGATATCCCCCCTCCCCCCCCAAGAGTTTGTGGCGTGTTCTGCGGTGGTGGCAACCACCCAATGGCCAAGCTGGTGGCAGTGAGGGAGGCTGAGCTGAGCTGATGGCAGGCCCCGGGGCTGACATCTGCTTTGGCGCAGGGGTCCCTGGAGCCGGGCGAGACGCTGCCACTGAAGCTGAAGTGGATCCTGCGCCGGGAGTTCTGGCCCCAGTTCCAGAACTTGCTGAAACAAGGCACTGAGGTGGGGGCCATGTGGGTGTCACAGCAGTGCAGGGGCACACGGGTGTCACTCCAGTATAGGGGCATGTAGGTGTCACAGCAGTACAGGCACATGGGGACATCACTGCAGTACAGGGACATGTGGACACCATGGTGCCACAGGGACTCGTGGGTGTCCCCCGGGTATACAGGGGCAGGGTGCGTCACCCCTTGGCCACTGCTCCCACCAGGGCAGAATGGCTGGGAGAGGTGGAGACATGCCTAATGGCCCCACACCACGCAGGGTGCTGGGAGGCAGCCCAGGGACCCCAGGGGGGGCTGCACATGCCAGTGCCTCTGCCTGCTGCGATCGCTCTCCACAGCTCCAGCTGCAGTGGGAACAGGGCACTGGTCTCCAGCAGGGCAGAAGAGCTTTGGGGTGATGCCCCACCACCACCCCCAGGGGTCTCTCTGTGTCCCCAGAGAGGTGGTGAGGGTTCTGTTAATGTGGCACTCCTGCACAGATACACAAGGGGTACCTTGATGACCCCCGCAACACGGACAACGCCTGGGTCGAGACGGTCGCCGTCAGCGTGCACTTCGACAACCAGAACGATGTGGAGATGAAGCGGCTGAATTCGGTACGGGGCCCTCGCCTCCGCAGCTCCCTGACCCAGCTCGCAGCAGACGTGGGGCAGAGGAGCCAGATCTCCCGACCCACATCTCGTCCTCATCAAGAGTGGGCTTCTCCAGCTTCATGGAGGAAGAACATGGGGTGGCGTGCAATGGGGGCTCCAGAGAAAAAGGGCAGGAGGCTGGGGACTGGAGGTGCTGTTGAGCATGGCTGGCATGTCCCCTCGCCAGCAGCGTGTAGGTGATATCTCTGGTACCCTTCCAGTTCCTCCAGGGCTGCGACCCGGAGCTATGCATCCGCTGGCAAGTGCTGGACAAGAGGATCCCCCTGCATGCCAACCACAAGGAGCTCCTGCACAAGGTCTCAACCCTCCTGGGCGCCTACTACTGAGTCCTCAACCACAGGCCAGGGCTCCTGCTGCCCCAGACCAGGTTCTGGTTGGGACCTGCGGCTCTACCACAGCTCACCTGTGAGACCATGGGCAGCTACTGGAGCCTAGGTACTTTGGTCGCCTCGGTGAATGTCCATAGCAGGTCTCTGGGAGGAAAACTGTCCCCTCCCCAGCAGCCGGGGGCAGGGGCTGCCTGGGCAGCGCCTACGCAGCATCCTGGTCACCTAAGCCACCAAGCTCAGCTCCAGCTTGTCTCTCGGTGCTTCCACATCACTAGGGCTTCGGCCAAGCAGAGCCACAGGGCTCTTCCTGCAAGGTGTTCCTCCTCTCAGTTCCTACCCGCTCCTTGCTTTGGTGTGGGCACTGGGACTTGCCAGCCCCAGCTACCCCTCCACCCAGCGTACCCACTGGGCAGCTCCGTTCCCGCTCCGAGCCCTGGCAGCCCCACTGGCACAGCTCCCAGGGGATTGCTCTGGAGAAGGCTTGGGGGTCTTTTGCACCTAAAGCTCCTGACTGCCCTTCAGGTTGCTCCTGTGGCAGCTGTCTCCGTACCTCTGGTTGCCTCAGACCCAACAACATGGTCCTGAGCTGTGCTCCAGCACTTCCGAAGGTGTGAGCAGCTCTTGGCTTATATACCTATGGTTTCATAGCTCCGCACAGGTCCACCCCCTCCATATCCCATACTGTTACGTGGTCCTGCGTGTGTATGCTGAGCACCGTCTTGTAGCAGAACTCCTTCCCTCTGCCTGAGGCAAGGCACCAGCAGATGTCCCCTGCCTGTCCCATCCCCCTGTGCACATGGACGGAAAGGCGCAGCTTGCTAGGACCCAGGTGATCTGTGCTCTGTGGTCCCTTGGGCAGGTAGGGACAGAAGAGGGGACATCAGTGTGTCCATCCCAGACATCTCTGCTCTTAAGGGGTCCTTTACTCACCTTTTCTGTTGCCTGCCATGGGGACAACAAGGCACAGTGGAGACATTTCTCCATAGCCCAGAACAGCCCCATGGTGGCATATTATGCCTGGGACTGCTCAGGGAGAGCTTTCAGTTCCCCCCACTCTCTCCCGATGGATCAGCCACCGGTCAGCCAGGGCGGCTCTTCCCACACTGGTGGCCACTACAGCACAACTGCAGTTTCACCAGTGATGCACTTGGGGCTTGGCAAGTGGAGGGGGAGGGGGGTGGGGGTGGTGTGTCCAAGTGGCAATTTAGTCAACCCAGCTCAATAAACCACGTATTAAATGACCAGAGGCTGGTGGTCTGTTACGGCTGTGTCACCAGGGGCCTTTCCTGGAGGCCGTGCTTGGAGCGTGCTTCCAGGATAAGCCCAGTTTGAGTGTTCCCACCCCCTATTCTTGTTGCACAAACTCCCTTTGCTGGCAGACTCGCACCCCCTCATCTCCCCCCCCCCCCCCCCCAAACCCATCCAGTTTTTTGCACAACAGCAG